ATATAAATCATAAATATTATTTATTTAAAATTCTACTTGAAAAGCCTTTAAATAAAGTAACTTAAACTTGTATAAGTAGTATATTTTATATATATAAAAAATAAATTTGTAACTAAAAAAGTGATAATAGAGATTTTAATATTATGGTGGTTTATTTTTGTTGTTAATGGAGATTTTTTATTTTTAACCATAATATTAGGATTTGGAAACTTTTTTGAATTTTTAAATGTTGATATGGATGCCTTAAAAATAATATGGCTAAACTGTTATTAATAATAGAATAGTTTAAATTACAAATTTTCCTATATTGTTTTGTATTACCAATGTAATTTTATAATTTAAAAACTTTTTAAATTTTAATTATTGATGTAGACTAAAAACATTGACCTTTTACATGTTATGTGGATGTCTTTGGAAGCATATAGCTTCAGCTTTTATTTTTCTATAAATATTTTTTTTGTTAACAATACAGTTTTAAAATTTGAAAATTTTCTAAATTTTAGATATTGATATAAACCAATAGAATTGAAATTTTAAATCCTATGTGGACACTCTTAGAGGTATATAGCTTCAGGTTTTATTTGTAATATATTTAGATATTAACACTGGAAGATCCCACACGAGGCCCATTGCGGTAAGTGATTTTGGTTTCTCCTCTATGTTTTGAGGCTTACGGAATGTATTCTGATACTGTTTGATTCAGCTAATTGTTACCTTTGTGGTTCAGGTTGGATTGCTAAACCCTTGTCAGACACCATGTTATTCCAAAGATTTTCCTCGGATACCTCAGTCTCTTCGCCTTAATGCAGAACTTCTTTCTCTATTTCTAGTGGTTCGTTTTTCAAAAATTTTGGGTATCAATCACTTGACATGTTTCTCGGATTACTTGAAATTTATCATTCTTCTCAAATCTGGTGGCAAAACTTTAGAGATTTTACAGTCTCTTTTTCAATATTAAAACAGCTTGTAGTGTCTTTGTTTTCATCATAATCATTTTAATTTAGCTAATAGTTAAACATATAGTTTAGTCAAGTTGGTTCTTAATTTTACATTGTAATGATTCATTCTTTAGTGAAACCTATCTCTATTTTTTTGCTTTTTTAATTGAAATGGTTGTACATACATAAAAAAAACTTAAAATTTATTATAGTTATGTGAAAAAAATTTGGATGCTAATGTAGGAGTATGTAAATAAATTTAAATATTTTATTTGTTCTTAATTATTTATATAATTGAAACATCTAACTTAAATTTAAATTTTCCTATTTTAAAATATTTATTTTATTTTTATTATTATTAATATAAATTATATATATAATTTATTCATCTTTAATAAAATTTTAAAACAATAATAGAATTTAGAAACTTTTTTTATTTTTAATGTTGAGGTGGACCAATAAAAAATTTATACAAAATTTCTTTATTAAACAATAATATTAGAATTTGTAAACTTTCTTAATTTTTTTATTTAACACTAATATTAAAATTTGGAAATTTTCTTAATTTTGAATGATGATGTGGACCAATAAAATTCTTAATTTCCTTATTTAATAATAATATTAAAATTTGTAAATTTTCCTAATTTTGAATGATAATGTGGGCCAATAAAATTGTATTTTTTAATCCTATGTGAACGCCTTGAAAAGCTTATAGCTTCATGTTTTATTAGTATAAGATTATATGCAAATCTTATATTTTGCGTCCATGCTATGCGTGGATATTTGGTCGATAAAAATTATATTTATCAATATAAAAATTTTCTATATTAATGTTTTAATTATATATTTAAAATATTATAATGTTAATCTAATAATTTTTATGTAAATTATAAGGTTTTAACGGTTTTTTTAATCTATATATAATATGTTATATTTCAAAAACGTATTATTTGGTCAAACACTTATAAGTAAAATTTTACAAATTAATCAAATGCTAATTTTAAATATAGTATTGACATGATGATAAAATATTATACATTCACTTTTTTAAATCATGAAGATATTTTTTTTTATCATTTTCACTTTTATTTCAATTATATATGTGTTTTTTAAAAACAATAAAAATAATTATATTTAATTTTTTTTCCTTCTCTTGTAATTAACTAATAAATAAAATATTTGCTTTTGAGGTTAATAATAACTATAAACTTGAAATCAAAACAGCATATGAATATAAAATGAATAAAATCACTAAAAATTTTTGAATTAAATATATTTTTGATAATTGGTTGTGTAAAATTTTAAATAATTTTTTAATTATTATTCCTCATCTCTTCTAATGAGAATGAAAAAAAATTTCATCATGTTCATTTTTATTTTTGTTATATCTGTTTTTTTATGAATATGTCATATTTGTATATTTTAATGATTTGTGTATGACTATATTCAGTTTCATCATATTCATTTTTACTTCTTTGAATTATAATTAAGTAGGCAAAATCGGTATAATTAAATACATTTAATTTTTTAAAAAAAAAAAAAATTGAACAACTCAAAACAAAGAGTTTCTACATTAATCTATTGCAATTCCAAGTCGAATTTTTTTTAAAAAAAGAAAATTTTGATTATTTTTCAGTAATATATTACATAATATTATGTGAATATATGTATTGCATATGTTAAAACATTTATATGAATATAAATTATAATTATTAGTTATTTAAAATTCAATGTGAAAACCCTTAAAATCAAGTAACTAAACTTGTATAAGTAGCATATATTTGTTTTGTAGATGATAAATTATATTTGTAACTTAAACAGTGTTAATGGAGATTTTAATATCATTTTGGTTTTTTGTGTTGTTAACAGAGATTTCTTTATTTTTTAATTTATTTTTTAACTATAATATTAGAATTAAGAGTTTTTTAATTTACATTTTTGTTATATACAAATAAAATTGATAATAGAATAATATAACTTTAACTATTATTAATAATAGAATAATTTTAACTAACACTTTTACCTAAATTGTTTTGTATTAACAATATAATTTTATAATTTAGAATTTTTTTAAAACTTTAGTTATTAATGTAGACTAATAAAATTGACCTTTTAAATCTTATGTGTATGTCCTTACAGGCATATAGCTTCAAATTTTATTTTTCTATAAATATATTTTTTTGTTAACAATATAATTTTAAAATTTAGAAATTTTTTTAAATTTAAATATTAATATGGACTAATAAAATTAAACTTTTAAATCATATATGGATATTCTTAGAGAAATATAGCTTTAAATTTTATTAATAATAGATTTAGGAATCAAACATGGAGGATGCCACACAAGGCTCGTTGCGGTAATTGATTTTGATATTTTCTCCTTGTTTTGAGGTTTACCGAATGTATTTGGATGATGTTTGGTCAGCTAATTGTTACTTTTATGGTTAAAATTAGATTTTTAAAATCCTATAAAATGCCATGTTATTTTAAAAAAAATTTTCGGATATCTTAGTCTCATTCGTCTTAATGACAAAACTTCTTTCTCTATTTTCAGTGTTTTGTTTTTCAAAAGTATCGAGTATCAATCACTTGACATGTTTCTTGGATTGGTTGGAATTTATCATTCTTCTCAAATTTGATGGCTAAGCTTTAGAGATTTTATGATCTTTTTTTCAATATTAAAGCGGCTTGTAGTGACTTTGTTTATATCTTCTTTCATTATATTCTTTGTAATTTAGCTAATAGTTAAAAATATAATTTAGTCAAGTTGATTGTATTTTTTTGTTTTTGTTAATTTGAAATAGTTGCACACATAGAAAAATTGGACGCTAATGTAAGAGTCTCTAAATATGTATGTATAAATCTAATTTAAATTTATATTTTCATAGTTTAATATTATTATTTTAGTTTTTATTAATATAAATTTTATATATGATTTATTTATCTTTAATAATTTTTAAAAACAATAATAAAATTTAGAAACATTTAAATTTTCAATATTGAGGTGGACCAATAAAAATTTTATACAAAAATTTCCTTATCCATCAATAGTATTAAAATTTGTAAACTTTCCTAATTTTCTTATTCAGCAATAATTTTATAACTTGTAAATTTTCCTTAATTTTGAATGTTGATGTGGACCAATAAAATTACTCTTTTAAATCCTATGTAAAAACCCTTAGAGCATGGCAGTTTTACACAGGTTCTAAGGTGGGGTTTATAAGTTTTTTGGATTTTAAAAAAATGAAAAAAGCCCAATATCTCGTGAACCGGTTCTTGTTTTAGAGTTTTTGGAGACTGTATTTAGAAGGGTTCATAAGTGACGTGTCTGCTTCTCATTCGTTCAACAAGAAATTTTTTTACGCTCTCTCTCCTCTTCCACTTTCTCTGGTTTTTCGTTTATGTCGACATTTATTTCTCCTCTTCCAACCACGATTTTTTCTCTGGTGATTTCAGATCATGGGCTAAAAAAATGAAAGCTTTGCATGAACCCACTTGAAAAAGAGCTGGGATTTTCATTGGAATCAAAGCATCACTCTTTCCTCGATCATTGTTACAAATCGAACAGACGGTAATGCCGGAGGCTCAATTCCGAGATAAATTTGATCACGTCGATTTCTTTCTGGTTTGTTACGTGTTTGAACTGCCAAACCAATTCATTCATTATATAAAATCAAAACCGAGAACATCATACTTGAGATCACTGTTCTTCTTTTGCTTCATAGTTTGTGAAGGAAAATTAAACAAAAAAAATTTTAGATTTCATCAAACCCAGTTTAAGAACCTCTAATGATGTTCACCATTGGAGGAATAAAAAACTTTGGAGTTCTAAACCATTCTTTAATCAAAAATAAATTATTAAAAAATAGCTATGAACCCCAAGAGGAGGTTCACCATTACTGGTGCTCTTAGAAACATATAGCTTCAACTTTTATTAGTATAAGATGTTTTCTCATTTTTTTATTTTAAAATATATCTACTGATCTACATATTTGATTTACTAAGGTTATTTTCTTATAACGTATCTCGGACTTGGAAAATATCATGAATGTGAATTCAAAACATTGATTTGACAAACTTTTTCTCTCTCGAAGCTCTTTCGCGTGCTTCCGTCTTGGTGGTCTTCTCCGGTTATGGCGCTCATCGCTGGACTGTGAGAAGGCCACCCCAAGGTTAGTTTTGTAATTCGCGCCCATCATCGACGGAAGAGGTTCATCGGCGGTGGATTTGGAGGCGACCTATTCTTCTCTGCAGTACTGTGGCATGGAAAACCAGCGCGACGAGCGGCTGCGGAAGCTTGGTGGCCTTGACAAAGTGGTGTTGTGGAGTCTCAGTGATTTGTCTCTGATCAAGGGCGGCGGAGTGTTTCATTGGAGATCTTGCCGCAGTTCTATCGAGGCTTAGAGAGGCAACTTGTTTTCGCTAGTTTGGTGGGTTGGGCCGTTTGTCGGGGACAGTTCTCCTGGTCGACGGTTGGATCTACCTAAGGATGGCGGTTCCTCTCGGTGGTGTTGTCAACTTGTCGGAGTCGGATACTGTTCCTTACCGGATTGAAGATGGTGGTTCACGTGGTAAAAAAGAGGAGATGTGCATCGCGCGGCGGTGTTGGTTTCGAAGGAAGAGAAAATCTGTGTGTCGGTTACTGGATCTGGTGGTAGTCGACGATTTGGCCGTGGGTTATTCCATGCTTTTGGTCATGTCACTCCGGGAGTAGGAGTATTCGGAATCTTGCTGTGAACGGATCTGGTTTCCGAAATTGGACAACCTAGTTTCCAGTTCCTTAAAGGCGACGATAGCTCTGCGCCGTTCTCGCATACGCTGGAGGAAGATATGCATGGGCTCGAGCTACTTTTCCCAATCACAGAT